TGGAAAATATTAGCGTTTCGTGTTCGTTTTGACTTCGTGTGGACGGGGCCTTAGTGATTCAATAATATCTCAGCATCTTCAATATTGTTCAGTTTTCATTAGAACTCATGAACTCATTTCAGTCTGGACACCATCTTCTTTTCTCCTTCCTCCATGTCCAGAGGGGCAAACAGTCGCTTTGCTCCAAACGTTTAAGCTGATTTGGTTTCAGGATAAACGGATCGACCAAAGAACCCCGAACCCCAAAGATCCGCTCTGACCGTCTAAAACATGCGTGGCTATGTTACAAGGATTGGATTCTTCCTTCGGTCTTGTATCCAAACAGGGAAGCTCCTTCAGATTTAATATTCTTGTTTAAATAACCTGAACTCCACCGGGAGAAGAATAGAAGCTGAGTCATCTGATTTCCAATCAAAGCACTACTTAAAGCCTATTTGTTTATGAGGAACTAAAATCCTCTTTTGGTGTCTCTTGCTAACAGGGCTGGAAGTTTTTTCCGGATGTCGTTTTTTCCATGTTTTTTTTGCAGCCGGAAGAAACTTGAAAGGTCAAATTTACTGAAAAGTTTTCTTTTTACGAATATTTTTGCCTTAATCAGGCCCAGATCCAGTAATAACCTTGAGGTGGGGTTTAACATCTATAAAGCAGGAATGAAGAGCAGAAGAAATGAAAGAAACAGAAAGCCAGCTGGTTGAATCTCAGGATACAAGAAAGCGTTTTCCTACCATTTAAAGGCTGTTAGTAAATGATCACTTCTTTATTATTATTTTCTCTGCTGGGCTTCTCCTCATGTAGCCTGGTGGATATAGTGAGTTGACTTTTCAATGGAACTCTCCCAGTTCTCCAAAATATGATCTATTACCAGGACTTTCTTCCTGCTTGCTAAACTACATTTTTCCGTTTTTCGTGTTATTTTTTCCAGCATGCACCGAAACAATCTTTTCTCTCTCATTACCTCAAAGATGGACTTTTTTAGAAGAACCTAAGAGGGGCTGCAGCCTGCGGAGCCGCTGGATCAAAACAATGAATTGAAGATAGGAGACAAACATGTTGAAAAAGCGCCTGTGTTCAGATTTAAGATGGTTAACGAAAGCAAATGTTGACAGACCAGATCAAACTCAAAACAGGAGGGAGGTTGTGCATAGTTTCAAAGGGGCACGGAAAGGTGTGCCAGGAAAGGTGTACAGCATTCCTTAGGATTCGCTCCATCATCTACCAGCTGGGAGGAGAAATAAAAATCGTTCGTTGCGCAAGTATCAATATGATAAACATATCTGCCAGCATCCAGTTCAGATTAACGGTGAGAGGCTGATACGTGACGGGATGGCGTGGGAGTGATGTCATCCCTGTTGGATTCGGTGGGAGGCGTCTCAGGCAGAGCAGCAGAGAGATGAACGGCAAACATACACAAAACAACGACATCCAAAGCTGCCTTGAAGGCACACTTCAAGTTAGTGTGGGTAAGGAGCAGACCCGGCGCCATGGAGACTTCTTCTTCTCTCTGTCCCTCCATCACCTCCAACAGATCCCGTTATCAGAGCTGAAAACACAAATTAAAGGCTTGTGGTCTAAGATTCGCCCATGTTCTTCCACTTCATCCCTTCAGGAGAGCCTCTCCACAAAGACCCTCCTGCTTGTTCCGTGTAGCAGGTGTTAAATATTCATATAATCAAGTGTGTCTTGTGTACGGTGAGGTGGCTAATAGGAATAAGACCGAGTCCTGGTGTGCGGCGCGGCTCCGCTATGCTAAGGAGTAGATGGCGTTGACAGGAGAGGTGGCCTCAGAGCTCTCGTTGCCCTCCGTCTCGTCCTTGTCCTTCTTCACGGTGTACTGACCAATGAAGGAGCCGTCCTCGTTGAACTGGCCGTCGCCTCCTTCCCCGTAGTCCACCAGGCTGTCATCGCTCTCCTTCACGTTGCCGTCCAGCGAAGTCTGGCTGCCCTGCAGAGGCTTGTTGTCCTCGTCGCTGCTGCAATGATGAACATAGAAGGTAGAGATGAAAATCCAACACCAGCCCAGATGGATGGACAAAATACCCGTCTGTTTTTATCATTTTTATCCAGATCAGCAGGCTGAACAATATATTCTGTTTCAATTACAGTAGCAGCCACTCAAATCTCCCCACTTTCCTTGACTGGTCCCA